ACTCAAAGCGCTTTACAGGTAATGGGGACTCCCCTCCACCACCACCAATGTGCAGCCCCACCTGGATGATGCGACGGCAGCCATAGTGCACCAGTATGCTCATCACAGATCAGCTCTCAGTGAGGAGGAGAGCAGAGTAATGAAGCCAATTTATAGAGGGGGATTATTAGGAGGCCACGATTGGTAAGGGCCAATGGGAAATTTGGCCAGGAAGCTGGGGTTACACCCCTACTCTTTTCGAGAAACGCCCTGGAATGACCACAGAGAGTCAGGACCCCTGTTTTACGTCTCATCCGAAGATATACCGCACAATTTATATATTTTATGCAATTTCAATTTGTTTGCTATCTATACTAAAGTGTAAATTGTTTAATGTAAATTTGTAATACCAGGATACGTGGGATAAGAAGGATAAGTAAACTCATTTATAATGGGGTTTATTATTATTGAAAAAAGACAGGAGTGACCTACAGTATATCTGACCACAGATATCTGACTCTGCAGTTCATCTGATGTTCTATAAAGGAAATAGGAACAGTTGTTTGTATTTTACTGACATGGCAGGTATACAATAAGGGCTGCGTAGGCTGCAATGGAACAAGTAATTGGTTTATTCCATGCTGAAAATAGAAGAAGAGAAGAAAGAAAACAATCAAGGAGATTGTGCTCAGTGGGGCTGATTTGACACTGTCCTGAGTCTGGTCTCAGAACACAATCAAGAGTGCAATAGTTTGTTCTTCATTAATCAGGAGGATGATTCAGGTGGTTTCGCAGAAGAAGGGGGAATATTTGCCACATGTGACTGTAGCTGAATTTCTGTAGAAACTGACTATTCTCATGGGTCTTTTCATCAGGCTCCTGCATGAGGTCACAAAACAAACAAAACAACCGAAGGTCAATAAAATATCAAGTTAGAAAAAAAGGCTAAATTGAACATGATGTCAGCTGAGGCATGGTTTGAGCTCAGTACAGCACACTAGTTCTGCTGGAGTCATCACTTGCATTTTGGATGTCATCTGTGCAATTTTCAGGGAGACTGTCCAGAGCAGAACAAAGATAAATTATTTTCAAGGTGCATTCTGACATTTGGGCAGGTTGAAAAGAGACTAACTGATCATGTGAATATGCTGGATATTTTGAATTGCCTCAAAGGATCAATGAGATCTTTGGATCAATTAGCTACTAGCAAGGGAAGGGGAAGGGGTCCTTCCTCTTGTTTGTAAACTTGTTCCTGAAATCCAGCTCTTCAAAATTACTTCTTAATATTGAGGTATTGCTTTTAAGGTCAAACATTACAATAAAACTGAAAAAATGTAGAACACAGCTGTCCTGAACTGAAGAGATCAGGGCAGGGGGTAGGGCTGAGGATTACAGTAGAGCTCAAGAAAAGGCAGACAAAGCTGAATAAGTTCTGTCATTGGTGCTGGAGTACTCAACAACACTGAGTGGGTTTCAGTCAGAGGATCTCTCTTTCCACATGGCATCATAGGGATTGGGAAATAAGTAGAAGCCCCGACTTTCTGCCTGAAAGTAGCTGTCTAGAATTGAACTGGACACTTGTTCACTCCAGGACTGATCTCCACATGAATAGCACAGCAGGCACAGCTAATACTTTCTCATGTAATACCATCTCATTTAATATATTCTACTGACAGAAAACATGCTTTAGGACGACTAGAAAGACTGAGGGAAACAGAGAAAACTGAACTGGAGATAAAGGTTTCCTCGCTTGAACTCAAGGTAACACTGTCATGTTAGCCTGGGGCTGCATTACCTTCATATTTAAAAGAAATGACTCTGAAATGCTACAGGATAGGCTATATAATGTTTAGAAAGGTACAATGTTAGCCATCACTTTTCACGTGGGTCAACTCAAGCATTTAACTCTAAGATCAATGTTCTTACAACAACAGTCATATTTTTTCCAGTAAACACTGCTTTTAAGTAGTCTGTTAAATGTGAAGTGCTGAATAGTGACCAACGGAAAAAACAATGACATTGTCTTAGTCTGAAATATGGAGGAGGCAGAACAATTACACCTGGTGTCATATTTTTGGTAAGCAATACTATTTGAAGAATGGTAGGTACTAATGACAAAAAAGCTGCATCAATGCATTAGAGCTGATCATAGCAATGATGTGACAAGAATCCCACTGGTGCACAAGCTGTACTAGCCAAAACCCCGGTAGAGAATGTATTAATCGGTTAATGGGAACTCCTAAAAATATCCAAAGAGCTATTTAATTGTATACATGCTTAAAATATCTTTAAATCAGATTTATCATTTTCTCTGTTGTTACTGAATTTCTTTTTGGAATTTGCAAATACAGGTGCATTTGCATTTAAATGAAGCCAGCCTTACTGTCCTGTTGTGCAGTTTGCAGAGCTGAGGGAGCTGGAAGAGGAACAGACCCACAGGAGTGAGAAAACGTCTGACAGCAAGTGCCTCCGCTGTAAAGCTGTGGAAGACCTTACTGCACAGCTGCAGGGTAAGGGCTGTCACAGTCCTTGTGGAATTCAGATGAACATTCCTCACATGCTGCTTACAAATTTAAAGCTATAGAAACTAACATTTGCTCTTGGAATATCCCTAACAGATACTGAGTAATTTATTTTGGGCATTAAATGTGCATGATGCACAGTAAATATAGAAATGTTATCATTTGTATTTTAATACATTAGTAAAATATCAAGTGTATCTGCTGCTTTTCATCTAAAAGCTAAAATTGTTGTGTTTCTGTTAACCTCAAAAACAAGACTTAAATGAGCACTCACATATAAAACACCCACATTCAGGATTTCTGTGATTGATCACCATCTGTACACAGCTCCTACACTCAGTCTTTAGGTTGCTTAGGTTCTGCACATTGCAAAGAGGATACTGCTCAATAGGTGTTGAGTGACTCATCATTGCAGGACCACTTGTGTGTAATGCTGCACAGCTTTGAATCTGTGGTGAGACTGAGGGCTATAGTAGCACAAGTATTGAAATTCAGAACTGCAATTCACGGCTGATGACCCACTGAAGCTCAGCAGGTGTGAACCTGGTCTGTACCTGGATGGGAGACCTCTGGGGAAAAACTAAGGTTGCTGCTGGAAGAGGTGTCTGTGGGGCCCTTATTATTATTATAATATTATTATTGGCAACCTTCATGAAATTGAGCAAAAAGAGAGTCATATTTTGGGCTCAAACATTTGGGGAAGCTGTATACTTTTATTTTAACACAATACCTTTTCACACACAAAACATTTTATTGAGTAGTACAATGTTTTCTGCAAAACATAGGTTTCAAAATTATTGGCACCCCTACAATTTAAATTTGGTGAAGCCTCCCTTGGAAAGGATAACAGCACTGAGCCTCTTCCTGTAAAGTGTGACAAAGTTGGAGCACACTTTTGGAGGGATCTTGGACCACTCCTCCATGGAGAACATTTCAAGATCCTTGATAGTCAGGCTTGCGCTTGTGGTCTGCCCTCTTCAATTCAGGCCACAGGTTTTCAATAGGATTCAATTCTGGAGACTGAGATGGCCATTGCAGAACATTGATTTAGTGTTTCTGCAACCATTCCTGTGTCGATTTTGATGTATGTTTGGGGTCATTGTCTTGTTGAAAGGTCCGTCTATGGCCAAGTCTCAACCTCCTGGCAGAGGCAACCAGGTTTTGGGCTAAAATATCCTGGTGCTTAGTGGAATTCATTATGCCATGGATATTAACGGGAGCCCCTGGACCACTAGCAGCAAAACAGCCCCAAAGCATCAATGATCCACCACCATATTTTACTGTGGGTATCAGGTGCTGTTCCTTGTATGCAGTCCTCTTTGTAGTTCCAATAACACTTGGCAAAGTTCAGGCACTGCTTTTTGTGGGTTGCGCTCAGTAAGGGCTTCTTTCGTGCAACCCTTCCAGAGTGTCACGGCTGCAGAGGGAGTGACACAGAGAGCCTGCTGATGGAGGTGGCGTCTAACAGTTGACTTTGAAACTTGATAACCCCAAGATCCCACTAAACTGCAGTTCTGAAAATGTGATCCTTGGGTTCTTCTTTGCCTCCCTCACCTTCTTGCTCACTGTGCGTGGGTGCAATATGCATATGCATCCTCTTCTTGGCAAATTTGCAACTGTTCCAAATTTCTGACTTCTACTTTTTGATTATTGCCCTGACTGTGCTTAGTATTTTCAACTGTTTATGTATTTTTTTATATCTGTTACCTGATCTGTGTAGGTCAACAACCATCTGTCTCTTTTCAGCTGAAAGCTCTTTGGTTTTACCTATGGTGATGGATGACAAAGAGATTTTACATGCGCGCAAACTCATAGTTATGCCCGGGGGAAACAGGAACTGGTGAAAGGCATTTAATTACAGACACCACTTTGTTTGGTTGCATTTTAAATATTCTTTAGGGATGCCAATAAGTTTGACCCCTATGTATTGGGAAAAAAATACTATTACCCAAAAAACAACTTTTTTTAATCAGAAAAACTTTTATTAGAGCGAAGTTAAGTAGTTTCACTGAACATTTGAGCAGAACATTTGAATCATTGTGTGTATTGTTTATTTTATACAATAATTTTTGCTGAATTTCATGAAGGGTGCCAATAATTCTTGAGTTGACTGTATTTGGAAAAGCAGGTTGGAAACTAAGGTTCTTCATTGAATATCTTACCTAATCTCACAAAAAAATCTCAATACAAAGAGTCTAAAAAACTTAACAGCCTTGTGCAGTATATTTGGTACAATATACTTAAAATGCTTACTTTATGTATTTTAAAATGCTTCTTCTAGTACAGAGTACTTACAATGTTGTGTAAGACTGATGCTTAAAATCTTACACAAATATAATGTCTCAGTATACAGAAATTAGCAAAAAGAGAGACATACAAAATTACTGTGCAAAATAAGTTTGTGCCAGTAATATGTATTTATAAACCATGTCTAACATAGGATGCATTGATAAAATACTATTAATTACAATAAACAACAGAATCAAAGCTTCCAAAAAGGTAACTCAGGCTTTTGAACAGAACTATCTTCAAACCTTTTATGAAGGAGGTTATTTTTCTAAATGTTTGGTTTTTTTGGCTAAAGTGCAGCAAACTGAATCCCTTTTAATCTACAAAATCCTGGACACCTGTTGGCGAGGGGTTTTTATTTTCTCCTCATGTTTCTGAACTTTCTCTGGATACCCCAGTTTGTTAGCTCTTCCCGAAGACCGCATATTATAGCTAATTGGCTATTCTAAATTGTCCTTTTTTGGTGTTGGTGTTTGGGTCGTTGTTCTCAGAGTCACTAGGATATAGTGTTAGGGTTTGCTCCCAGTATGACCAGTACTGTTTATGTAACTTAACAGAACCAAACACGATGGGCTGAATGGTCCCTGTTTTTAGCCATTCTGAATCCCTCTGCCCACTTACATACAGTAGCTCTCCTAATAAAAAGAGTGCATGATGGACTGGTGTACACTTAGGAGACAGCTTCTTCCTAAAGCCTACTGTATCATACAGTACTGTATGTATTTTAGGGAAAAATGACTTGCAGATGCAAGAGTAATAGCAAACCAGGTAATGTAGTAAAGTACTGACAGGTGCAGGACTGGGAATATTATAGCAGTGTATGCTCTCTGTGGTTTCAGAGAAGGAGAGAAGGTGTGCTGAGTTGCAGCAAGAAAGAGACCAGGCCGTTCAGGCCCCGGAAAAGCTCCAGCAGGTATTGTACATACAGAGTAAAAAGTCTCTTTTTCAACAGAATCGCCCAACACAGCCTGAGACAGTGGCTGGGATTGAGTTGAGTTGTTCTACAGTAAGTGAGCTCTGCCTTTCTGTGGAGTTCACCTTCTAACAATTTATTCTGCAGAACATTGGCAGAATAGGGATATTTTCTGTCTTGGTTTTGCAGGGGTCAGGAGAAAAAGAGGTCCCTAGACTGAAAAGAAAGATTCATCCGCAGAACTCAGACCATGACAGACAGAGAAAACTGGTCCTGGAGCAGGTAGAGAGCAGTTTGTTGCAAATACCCAAATACCCAAAATGCAGGAAACAAACATCTTTATGGAAACTGACAGGTGAAGGTTTGTGAGACGTTTCTACTTTCTCAGCAGGTTTCTCAGATTCCCGAACTCCTTTCTTGCCCTGTAGCCGACATTAATTTCCGTCTGCTTAAACTAGAAAGCTCCTTCCATTCAGCTCGGCCCCCCGCTTCAGCCCCGACCATCTCCAGTCTCCCTCTGAACTCGTGTCAGATTTCACCCTCAGCACAGCTCCTGCCTCAGGCTCTCAAGCTGTTGCTCCTCGATCCATTGCTCGTCTGCCTGGAGTGGGGGCGTTTGTTCCCCTGAATTGGCATGGAGGGGTTTTGTCAGTGAGTCTCTCAGCAAGTCAGGAGAGTCTTCCTCTTCCTTTTCTGTCCTTGGCTCTGTGTCGTGAGTCTCAAGTGAGTCTCAGTCAGGGGTGGTTATTTCATGTCCTGGAGGCTGCTGAGCCAGACAACCCATTTAGGATGAATCGTGTTCCCAGTGCGGTCCAGGTGCTACTTTTCTGTACTTTTTACTAACCCCTCTTATCCCTTTTAATTGCCAGAAGAACACTAATGTAAGCATGTCTTTTGGGTCACCCATCAGGGAAAGATCAAGCATGTAATCTCTGGATCATGAGGTGCAAATCAAATGTAGGAGACAATTTCAGATGTTCCTTTGCAAAGTCTATATGACATTACTATTCATCAAAATACAAAAAATGTGCCATTAAATATATGGATTAAGGGATTGGAGTGGTTTAGAGGTTATATTATATGCTTATCCAGGTACAGTATGTACCCATTCTTCATTGTGGAATGGAGGTAAATAATTCAGGCGGGGAGCTACTTCAGCATGCGTAGGCTGCAAAGGAACAAGTAATAGGTTTATTCCATGCTGAAAAAAGAAGAGAGAAAACACAACGTTTCGGCCTTCTTCAAGTGTGGAGCCTTCTTCAGGTGGAGCCTTCTTCACACCTAATAAAGGCTTCACAGCCGAAACGTTGTGTTTTCTCTCTTCTCTTTTCAGCATGGAATAAACCTATTACTTGTTCCTTTGGAGGTAAATAATTGTAACTAAGCCAAAACGGATAAAAGATTCCAGTTCAGACTTATCAGTATAAATGCCTTGTGAGTCCACAGCTATTGTAAGATATGGGAGATATTGTACAGGCTGTGGACACATATCCATCCTGAGCAAAAGAGTCTGCTGCGGTTCTAGCTGAAGAGCCTGTTTCGTGAGCGGGAGCAGCTGGGCAAGACCTATGTGAAGCTGGCAGAGCACAGGAAAGCAGAGGGCTCCTTGGAGGAGTGGGGTCCTAAGTCACAGCTCATCCAGGTGAGGAGCCATTACATTGCCCCCTTCCTCACACCCATTGTACTGGGGTCTTTAGCACGGCAAGTCTATATCCATCCACACGGGCTGTTACTTTATACTGTTACCCTTTGAAAATGGGAATTGTCTTACAATTTCTCACAGAACGCATTGGACACCCTCAGCAATCAGGAGAGGAGTCGGCGGGAGCTTGAGGGGGAGAGAGAGCGCCTGCAGGAGGCGCCAGAGTACAGGGAGCACCGTGGGCTTCAGGAGCAGGTGGACAGACTCAGAGAGGAGCTGCGCAGCAAGACTGACAAAGTGGGTATCAGGGGACGGCTCAGCAGTCCATCACAAACACATTATTTAGTAAACGCATAAATACATACGTAGAGATGACAGAAACAATGGTAGCTGTGAACCAAACTGTCCTGTCTCAAATTATTGAATCCTCAAGACTGTCAAATGACAGACATACAGCTGAGGACTTTCATACATTATACTTTTGATGCTTACCTTGTCCTCTCTCACTTAGAGGCCTGTCCTTTTCATATGGTACATCAACGCTGACATGTCAAGATTTGTAAAACAAATGTCTCATTGCATCCTGAACAGTAGATTAGAGAAGCATTGAACCAAAATTTAATCTAATATAATCTGATTTCTTCTGTTTTATTTTAAAATCTCTGTTTTTTACTTTAAAGGCTAAAATCTATAGCTGTGGTTTTCATGTAAAGAAAATATTGATGCTATGCTGTGAAATGAAACAACTGACTTTCTTTCATGAAGTTTTTGAGCCACAAAATTAAAGAAAGCACATGAGCACTGGCCTGGAAATGAGAGAATGAGTTATATGCAGTATCTATTATTTTACTTCATTTAGACAAACCCTGTCATAGTGTACCTCTGCTTGCTTTCCCATTCCTCTGTAAGTCCTGAGGACTGACATAGCTCTCGGTATTGAACAAGACAGAATACCACTCTTCATATTAGGAGTAAAAAATATCACCTTGCTTTTTTGCATTGAACAAGTGATTTTTGTCAGAGAGTGTTCTGACCCTAAGGTGAAAAACAGACTAAGTTTCAAGGACAAGGGAGGAATCGGCTGTCGTCTAGAGAAAACTCTCTGGCATGATGCTATCTTCAGATGTTGGAAACACACAGCCTGTTCAGGATGTGTCATCATTAATATCCCAGCGCACTTTACAAGGAAAATGATAATCGCACATGTTAAGGGAGGGAGGGAGGAGGAAGAAACAAGGAGAAGTGGAGAAAAGAGAGGAGTCTAGAGGAGTTGGGACTTGACGTTTGAGCCAGGCGAGAACCCCTACTTCATCATCATCCAGACAAAATCTGACTGGAGCTAAGTATTTGAACCTTGCTAGAGAGAGCATGTTATTCTGTGATTTTAGGGCACTTGGGTTTCCTGTGTAAAAGACACCTCAGTTAGAAACGTCTCTCCTGCTTAGGTTGCATTTTTCTGGATAGGGATATACAGTAGGCTCCCACTTATTTTGTGGCATCCGGGGTGCAGAGAGACAGATTTAACTGCATTGTATTGAGTTAGAAGCAGCTCGTCTCCTGTGTGGCCTCTGTAGGCATTAAGAGTTTAGTGCTTCGTAGCAGTCCGGAGTTTTCTGGGTGACCAGAATGTTAGACCTCTGAAACACCTTGTTTGTAAATACTGTACAGTATATAAAGTAATTTGTGTGCTGTATGTTGTGTGTAGTGTAGTGCAGTTTGAGTTTTGGTCATTGTAAGAAATATTTGTGTAACCAAGTGTGTCTGGATTGTTACTCCTCTCAACAAAGCTGTGCCAGAGAACAAAGAATTCATGTGCCTCTAATGATACCAGCCTCTCGGGTATATTGCTAGTAATCACTTACAAGTTGGGGGTTATGAATAATTATTTTACTTATGGACTAAACCGCTCGGTCAATTAATGATTTTCTCCATGTACGTAACCCCCATTTGTAACAGTATTATATGTTTTTTTCAAAATGTCTTTTTTCCAGATGTCTTCCATGGGTAAGGAGATTGAGAACTTGAAGGAGAGAAATGAAAATCTGCTGAAAGGTAGGGGTTATAGGGATGTTTTCTCGAAATTGTTTGGTCTGTTTGTTAATCTGTGTTCAGAGTACAAACTCCTTGCTATCAGACCCCTTTCATTAGGAGCATAGTTGAATTTTCTTACTCAATCATGAATTTCGTGTTATAGTTACTTTACATGCATCTCTTACTGTACTTTCATGACTATTAAGATAGCAATAAGGACTAGTAGGTAGAGACTCAAATCCAGGTGGGATACTGCTGTTGTACAGGGTGCTTGACTCCAGATTGCCTCACTGAGTGCCCTTCTCTTTGAGGATCTCTATGTTGTAGGTGCACATGATACTTTGTGTTCAACACTGCATTAATGCTGCTCATTCATGCCTTTATACTATTGCTAGACTAGTGAGTTCAGATATTCTGTACAGTGTATTTGCAGTGGGCTCAAGGCCATTGTGGGGCACACATACAAATACTTTATATACACACAGTCACACCTGAGCCATTTCTTACAGATGCTAATTAACCTAGCCGCATGTCTTTGGAGTTTGGGAAGTAACCGGAACACCATGTGAAAACCAAAATATATTGTGAAAAATCTATTTCCATATTTGCTGGAAAATATACTGTATTATTTCCTTACTTAAGTTAGTGTAAGGACATTTACAAGTGCAAATAAGAACTTTTAGAGCTTCTACTGCATGCTTTCACACCTTAATACTAGACTAGTAACTTAAGACTTGACCTTGCTTAATACTAGACTAGTGAGTTCAGGTGTTACAGAAACAACAGTGAATATCTTTTTTTTTACTCCAGCCAAGCTGAGATTCCAACAGCAGATCCAGGGCCTGCGGGCTTCTGGCCCACAATGGAGAGACAAAAGCTTGGTGCAGGGAGTGCCCTGGCTGTCTGAAGACCCTATTGAAGGAGAACACCAAGGCAGAAGTGCAACGTCCTCTCCTAGCAGAGATGGGACATTTCTGGCCAGGCAGGTGGAAGTCCTAGATTTCCCTGGGGATGAGCCAGGGGAGCATGAGACTGTCAGGGACACACGGCCAGGCTCCTGGAGCTCAAGTTCTCCTGTCCCGCTTAACGCCGGCGTGCTGCCCCGAACCCCCAACGAGCTCAGCGTTCCCACTACTCCTGCAAAGCCCTTTTCTAGCAGGTGCTCCCCAGACCTCTCCCCCCTGACACCCCGAAGCTGGGCCAGCTCCCAGGAGTCGCTCGCGGACAAACCCACCCTGCTGCTGTCCCCCCAGCCCTTCCGCTCCCAGACCCTCAAGAACAGCCTCAGGTCTGGGGAGAAGTAGCGGAACACCACTCGTGGCCTGAATGCAGCAACGCAGTGAAGGATGCTGGCTTCTGCTCTGATTGGTCACGGTGGTGGAAAGCAGTTCCCCTGATTTCTGATTTAGTACACGAAACATTCTGTGAGAGGTTGAAGGATATTTTTCAATAATGTTGTCGTATGCTTGACTTTTTTCCTGTCCTAGCACTAAAGGCATCACTGTTCTTAGACAGTGTTCTATGTATGGTTTCTAAGTTAGCTGCTTGAAATGTGAAATTTAAAAATACAAAATGACTTCAATCTATTTTTTGAGAGTGACAGATTACTCATTTTTGTGTCTGACCTAGATTTTTCTGTGATCTCTTTTTTCCCAAAAGAGAGATGTGCTTTACAATAGATTTATTTTTTAACTGAGGATTTATTCATATTATTCATACTACAGTATTTCTTACTGTAATTGTACTGTATATAATCCAGATATAGTTCCAGTAATGTTAATGATGATTTACCATTCTTTTCTTGATGTAAATTGCAGTATGAGGATGTCTCAACATTACAATTTTTTCTAAACATAACTGGTGTTTATTTAAATTTTTGTTTTTTAATTTTTTACTTATGTTTTGTTAATACTGTAATACTGTAAGTACCTTAATGTACCTTAATGTCAGGTATGATTTTAAGAAGTGTTTATGTAGGGACAATGCTAGTAGTCCATTTTCATTGTCAGACGTAATAGCTGGCTAGTGTTTCAGAAGCAGTTTGCTAAGCGAGGCTGGGTACTTTGAAAAGAAGTATTCAGCTTTTAAATCCATGTATTATTTGCATTGATGTGTTGAAAGTGGAGAAAGACCTCCAAAATCATAAATTAAATTAAATAAAGTTAAGAACTTAAGAAGTTGTGCATTTAGTAGTATTGTGGGCCTTCAATACATTGTATCAGGGAAAGTGATAAAAAAGATCAATTTCAACATGGAACAATGTAAAGGTTAATTCCGTGCTGAAGAGCAGAAAGAAGCAAGCATTGGCTGTCAGGAGCAAGGGAGAGGGTGTGAGGAGGCAGGCATACGAAGCACAGGAGACATAGGACAAAGCAGATAAGAATGGGCACACGGGTGAGAAAGTTTGTTCAAATGAAGGGTGGTCTGTGGGAGAGAAGGGAGGATTTGCTGCTGAAACTAGTCAAACTTCTACATTTAAAAATGTATCATATTTCAGTTACTAATAAGGTAAAATAGATTTCCACATAATGTATTAGTGGAAATCTGCTGATAAGACACTACATTTGGAATGACCTGAATTTTACTACTCAAGCAGCAAAGTACAAAACTGCTTCTTATTGTACTGATCTCTGTATTTATGTTTGAAAATTTCTTAGTACAAAAGTGTGTGATTAGATGTTATTTACAGTATGTTAGTATTGTATAAGTCTCTGCAAGGTGTACAGTACGTGCTGATGCCTACACACAGTGTCAACTCTTGATTACTACTAAATAAGGTTCTGATAACCCTTTATTTCTAATTTATATGAAATATACTGCAGTGAACTAATGCTTGCGATTCTGCAATGAGATTTGATGTTTTTGATCCTTTTATTCAGGTAAATTTGAACTGCAGTAGCCCTATGGATTTAAAGAGTTTCATGGCCATTTGACTCAAGGCTTGCAGTATATACTGTAGATATGACTTATTCAAACAACAGTGCCATTTGATCTAGTCATTTGCATGGAAACATTTTTAGCCTTTTTTCTATAATTCACAAATGCTGAAAAATGCCATAAATAAAATACAAATATTCAATATATGATTTTAAAAATGCAACATTTACAGTATAATTGCCTTCTGTATTAAGGTGAAAGTTCATGTGACTGAGTAATAATGCGAATGATCCAAATTAAATGTGCTGAATTGATTATATTCTTTCTTGGTTATCATTTAATCAAGAATTAAGCCATTTCTCAGTGAAGATGTGAACAAGGTTGCTTACTTGCAGGAGGAAAGTGCATGGTGAAGAAATAAGGGTGAGTGAATAACTGCGCCCATTAGAAATACAGCCCCACAAGCCTAGAGCTTCTGAACACGCTGACTCATTGCATCAGCTTGGCAGCGTTTGATCATTGAAACGTTCTTCCTGTGTGTCCTGTATAAAATTGTCAAAGAAAACTCCTTTTACAATAACACTTTTCAAAGTTTTGACTTTACAAATGAAGGTTATGAATTTTACTTACTGTGGCAACGCATCCCACTACACACAAAACATGATCTACAGTATGATGTCTTTTTGTAATGTGCTATTTATGTCTATCTTCTCTTCTGGAAATCAAGTGAAAGTCTTGTTTCCTGAAATTAATTTTGTAATCATTCTTTGTGTCTAATAATTGGATTCTCCACACTCAAGACTTTTAATAAACATTTGCTAGATTTAATTTTGAACACCCCATCACGTTTTTGTTTCTGATAAAGATACAGCCTCCTAAATTTTGATTTTAAAACAATAATAAAAAAAGTTTGAGTTGCTGCATTTTAAAAATAATACATATTTCAAAACCCACACTATACCCCAATTTAAGAACCATTTTTGCATTCATGCATTTTTTAAAGAAATGTCCTTCCTATCAAGGTTTAAAGTTATTTATCTAGTGTCAAGTCAGACACAGAAACCACTTCTGTTTTCTGCTTCAACATTTTGAATACTTTTCCTATAATGGTAATGCAACTCTCTACACTCACTTGAAAAATATTAATTTAAATTTACTGTATAGCCATAATGTCAATTCTCATAAATTATTCTTAAGATCAATAATACAATTGTTTCAGGGCACTGAAAGAAAATGCATTAAGGGCGGACAAGAAAGCCAGAACTGTATTGGATACCAGGTAACATGACACCGAAAACATTCTTTTTTTAACAAAACCCATTAATCCTGGATGATGATGCTGTCATGTCTGGAGGATGAGCTGTGGTTTTGGTGTTAATGTACAAAAAAAAACCTAACTAATTCTTGATGCTTATCTTTAACAAACTACAATATCTATTTTCTGCTTCTCACGGTTTAATCATACCAGCATATGAATGTCTCCCACCATGGTTTATTAATATGATCCACATATGAGGGAACCTCCAGCCAATAAACACTAATAACTGGGAAATTAAGAATTTGCATTTGTGAATATGCTGAAGGCAGAAATAAACAAATAAACACAGTAAGGAGTGAGGAACCTTAGGATATGTTTATTAACATCACTGAATAGTCCTTCACAGAGGTATTAGTTCCCAAAAGATCTTCAGCTCCTCTTCTCACATGGAAGAGCTGGAATAGACAAACTCCCGATGAACTTACAAATTCTCAACTTGTCTTCCTTACAAGAGGAAACTTTCCTCTCATTCCCTAGAACCCCTAGGACACTCCACAGGGCTCACCCTTCCCTATACCGGAAGGTACAGTACTTGTTCCTCCATCTCTTCAGAGACCTACTGGCACACCTCACCCTCTGGTACCCACTTTCCAACTAATTTACTACTCTATAAAGACCACAGAGAATTCAGGTTAATCTAGGAATACAGTAAACTAGAAAACAAATGCTAAATTCTCTCTGGATCCATCTGTCTTTTATAAAGCCAATCCATACCAAAAAAAAATATCTTTGCAAGTCTTCATTGTCTTTTTCTAACCTTTAAAGCCTAAACTGAGCCTACAAATGCCAGCTGGCTGTTCATGTTAAAACAGAAGTTAAATACTCCTGCGCAATCTAAACTCACTGCAACTCAGGGCTCAACTTTAACACTCTCCCTCCCTGAACAGCAGGCCCTTAAACACACTGCCCCTGACTGCTGTTATAGTGACTGCTGCTACTCCTGAAGAATGTCTCAATTTAGCACAGGGGCAATCAGATCATCCCTTTTCTGCCTCTGGAATTCCATCCCACAGGAGTCCAATTAGTCAATCAAGGCAGGTGCATCTAATTTACTGCAGAGAAGGAAGAGGCTTTGACTAAGCTTCAGCGTGCTCCATCTCATGTTTGTATGGATTCAACACACCAACTTTCCCTCGGTGGGTAATTGAAAAACGTTTTATGGAACGCATAAACCCTGCCTGCCACCCCTGTCTTAAATGAAGACAACTAAAGAGACCAAATGGCAATTTGTATTGTATTTAATGCCCATCATAAAACAGGATAATAGATAATTGATGACCTCTATGATACAGGAAAGGTAAACATTTTGTGTATCATAAACAGAAAAAGGTTTCTATAGTAGCTACAGATCCCGTTCACAATTAAACTCCATGGAGAATGACTAATAGATTGCTGACTCACAAAGTATGAACAGAAATACAGACCTGTCAAACACAAAAAGCACAAGGAAAATAAACATTTCTTAAATATTACAAAAAAGCAATTGAGGGATGTTTATTGTACCTACTAGGGATAAATCACCTTAGTTTCCTGAACAACATATTATATTTTACATTAAACATCCTTCAAGCAAAAATGATAACATCACCACTATCTGCAGAAAAAAGGCATCCATAACTTCACACAAGCTAAATGAAAAAAGGGGTCATATTTGGGTAGGGGTCATATCTAATACACACTCCCACATTACACATATAAATGCAAGCATTTTCATTTTGATTTCTTATAGCTTGAACACTTCAGAGGTAATCCTGTAGATCAATGTGCCTTTGTCTAGACTGAGTGAAGTGTTAATACTACTTCTGTACCATATTAATGGACATGATTGCTCCTCATTTGTGAAGCTTCATCATTTTTGAGTAGCAATCAGCTTCTAAATACACATGCACTGTCCAAACATATATAACAGTGCCAAACATATATAACAGGCCTAAGATGAGTGGATAGATGTACAGTAGTTGACACTTACACATACTGTAGATGTAGGTGTACCTTTGTCGTTCCCAAGGTAGATATCTTAATTATTTGTTGTTATTACATGGTAATTTACATTAAATCTCTGTCAGCTCATAATGCATATCTTTGTCAATTTCACAAAATAACTTTGATAAATTGCTTATTGCAATGGACATTTTGAAATGCTCATCTATTATATTGATTAAGTGTAGTCTTGCTTCCCTGGCTAATGAGCAAAATGACATTGTCCCACAGGTATGGTGGATTGGAACAGGTTTATTCCATGCTGAAAAAAAAGTCACAACATTTCAGCTGTGAAGCCTTCTACAGGTATGTTGGATTGCTTTCTTGACAGCCTAACAAGAGAATGTTGATATACTTGTATATTACTTTTGCTATAGTTCACATTCTTCTTTTAAATAATAATTAATTTTTACCAGTAGTTACTAGTTAGTCCAGATGAGCACCTCATTTGAATCATTCCCAAGTAAGAAAAGCAACAAAAACAAAATCAATGTAGTTTCCTTTAATTAATGCCATTTTTACACCACTTTGGCATGTACTATGAATTTGTGGGCCCTCTGATTGTGGGCCTGACCGGTGTTTCTTCTGTCTTGAAATCAGGAACAGCTTTAGTGCCAGAGGGAAAATTGAATACCATCTCTAAAGCTGTTTAGAACCATGCTATTTGAACTAGGAACAGTCCATCCTTTATTAACAGGGTTTATGTAAGCACCTTGATGTCTGGTCAAAAGGTACTGCAAAAGCTCAGTCTAGCTGCACACTATACATGTAATAAACAACATGACATCATATTCCATTTGGGAATCATTAAAGCAGTGCATAAAACTAATTAAATTACTTTTATATTATATTATTAATTACTTTGACAATGCCAGGAGGACCTTTAAATTGTGGAAAACAAATTTTTGACCACACAATCTATTCAATCCTTTGTTGAGTCTAACTACAAGCATTTCTTCAGGTTAATTCACATATTAATGTGGCATATCCTATTTAAATAATGAAAGTGTTACTTCCATGTCTAATAGATGTGTAATGAAAAAAAATAATTGCTCATTGTTTTATACAGACTTTTTTCATTCAAATTGATTGACAAACGAACAGTGAACAATCGATCAATGCAGAAAACAAATTAACATTTATCACAAAATAAAACCTCCTTGAGAGAACAGATTTCTGACTTGGTGGCCTTTATTTACAGCCCAGTTTCAACTTTCCCTGTACTCAGTACGCTACACCAACACGGTTCCTAAGCGAGCCGCTCCTTGCTCCTGTGGAATAGTGTCTGTAGGCAGGCCCGGGTCCTGGGAGAGCTCTACAGCCAGTCAGGCTGGATGGCGTGCCATCGGGCCGACTCCACCTGCCCCCTGCTGCACATGTCTTTCCAGTGCACTTGTCCTGCTTCTGGTGCATTCTGGCCAATCAGCACGTGGCCCAGAACGCTACTCTTTGTGTAAATACGCCCCTGTTTGAAAAAGAACATTGCAATGTCCGTTAGGAACGCCTTATTCTGACAATAAAAAACAAAAAGACGATTATCCCATCACCTGTGAAATCTCACTAATGAGGTGATTTAGTGCTTATGCAACAGTCTCTGCAGTAGATTATGGTCAGTCATGATCAATCACTCAAAAGGACATCCAAAGTATTTACTTAATATCCAAAACATGGTTTATTCAAAAACCAAAACTAATTGCTAATAAGTTCCTTTGGTTTTCACTAGGAGAAGTACTTTACTTGTATTAAAGATACTAAAGCACGAAGTTAATCAAAATGATATGCTATACATTATATGTATCTGTTTACTTTAATTTTAGGAGAGAAAGACAAATTACTCAACTATCACCCATGGCCAATTATACTGTAAATATCATTAACTGTTTCTCAACATATTGCATTGTGTCCTTTAATTCTGCCTTAAGCCACCTTTGAAGCAGCTCACCTGCTCATTTTAACATTGGTTCCCCGATACCCTCATCCTCGGCTAAGCATGGTCAAATAATTTTCTCAAATTGTTCACCTCCTCAAATTCTCAAAACTTTGGAATTTGATACTTCTAAATCTCTGTTAATTTAGGAATTGTAGATGTTCTTGTTAATGTGTGCAGCCTATGATGTGTGAGCCACAGGATCTTCAGCGTCTTCTATTGAACAAATGTACAAATACTGAATTTGAGCTGGTCTAATTGCATGTACAGTATCCATAGCTATTCTCATGTACAGTAACAATTTTGCAATACTTCACCTTGATTTGCAACTCTCTTATTTCACTTTCTCTTTAACATAATTATATGCCAGAAAATGTCATGCATATACTGTATAACACAAAGCATACTTTGCCTACTTTAGTGAATGGGGTGGTTCACAAATGATTATATTTACAATTGGGTGTTTTAGGATAATGGGATATTAGTGGGTAATTGGAGATTGTCTCTCCTGCCAATACCCCCTACCTGCATGACGACAAACTCCAGGGAGAGGGGCAACTTCTGGATCTCTCCAGGGGGCATGTCAAAGAGGAAAGGAGCATTCCAAACTGCGTTGCATCCGCTGGCCACCTTTGTTTCCTTGGTACCAATCACCTCACCATTCTGCCGCAGATGAATCACCACATAGTGATCTGGGGGCGCGGGGAGAATAGGGATTATAAATAGAAGGTCGTGGGTGAGAGTCCAGTACGGTACAGTTCTTCAATCAGATTACTTCAGTAAAATGCTCATTTATAACTCAGGAGTGCAGATCTGCTCATTAATAAGATACTTTATTTTCATCTGTATTTTTATAAACCATATTCTGGATGAATGCTAAACTATATCCAAGTAAAGGTCTTTTATGACTTTATTATAAAAAATGTAATGTTACTCCTCACACCTCTTTTTTTTCTGTTTAAAAACATGGATTGTATGATGTACATTATTGCAGTTTATCATTCTTTTTCTAAAATAATTGGCTTCCAATTAGTCTTATTCAAGTCTGCCAATCTTGTAAATTAATAAATATTCTCAAATACAGTACATTCATACATTCATTCATTCATACAGACATGAGCTAAGAGAATCTAGTTAATTCTGAGGATTCGGGTTTGCAAATCACTTGTGGGATTATATACAGTTACTGTGATTACAATACACTCATGTTAAAATTGCATGATCCTCTGTAGTCTCCAGAATCTGTAAGCAACCTCTTAATCCTCCTGCTGGACAGCTCTAATTCATCCTGCTGCAAACAACACAATTTTTCCAACCCCTATGCATTACGCTAAGTGCTCCAAGCACAGGAGTTAAATTCATCCATAGCATTACATCCTGTGGAGCCATGTGGTTTTCTAATCAATGCTTCCGACTCCACAATGCCATCCAAGATTTGTGACATTCAGAGTAGCTAATTGTCACTTTGCAAGATACCACACAAACAATACCTCTTTGTCTGTCAATATTTACTATAGCACTGCAAATGCTGACTTGATCCAAGCTACCTCATTTGCATTTAGCCTTCTTTCTTCCTTCTACATTCATACTTTCCAATATAACACCTATCATTACTGACTCAAACACACTACCCAGGTTGTATGAGTTGTTCTACTATGCAGAGAGAGTCATAGCTTTTTTCCAATTAAGAGTTTGAAGGTTTTCCTCTTTGCGAAACATAGGACCCATAGCATTTTCTGAAAGGCTGTACTGTCCTAGACTGGACTGGGGGAAAATGGGAAATGTGATCCTCCTAGTCATAGAGTAAGAGGTGATAGGAACTGCAGTACCTGGTGCCCCTGGCATGCGGTTGATCTTGGTCAGGTTCTCTGCTTTACGGACCATCACCTTGATCCGATGAGCCAGTGTCTGATACTGCAGCAGGATGAAAAGCTGGCCTAGGGGTTTAAAGCTTGATGTGGAGCTCCTACGGGTATATGTGTCCTGAGAACTAAGACTCTGAAACACAGAAAAGAAATTGTAACACACACAGGGTCTGTTCCAGTGATATATTAGGCCAGTGATACAGGTATGTGAACAATATCATCTGTTGGGCAGTAATGAAGAGCAATGGTTTTAGTGTTGATGGTTTACAACAATTTAAACTACTGATTTAGCATTTGTCTAGAAACAAGGTAAACAACAAGTAAAAATATGTGCTTTTTAAATAAATTATGTTTACCTTTCTAACATGAAGAGAAAACAAATAATAAATGTTTTCCTACATTAACCTATTAGCTTCTGGTTATCTGAAAGGGGGAATTTCAATTTCTGCAAAACACACAATCAAAGTTGTTTTACAATTATATTATTTTGAGTTTTGGTATAGTTACTGTATACTTTCCAGCTAAAATACACATTTTTGGTATGACAGCTAAATACTGTAAAATCCACAAAGGCTATAGCTGAAAAGATGAGATGATGATGACAGCACACAATGGATTGTAACACTGGAAGATGTTCTAGATTTAGAAGTAAAAGTGACAATTCAGGTGTTGCATAGGGTCACATTGACACAGCTGATTCTTACAATTGCATTAATTGGAGATGTATGGGAGAATGTTAATAAAGGAGTGTTTCAGGACTGTACTGTATGAGCCTCTTGTATTAGCCTGTCTCGAAAAAGACCTAGTCAGAGAAATGAGTACAGTGACTGGGTGTAATCTTGATAGGATGCAGCAGGTGCTGACTTGGGCGATAGTTAGTTGGGTGGAACTAATAAGCTTGAATCAAAGTTTGAGAATTTGTAGTCAAAACCTTTTTTGTTCATGCTTGTAGGAAAAATGTTGCATACTGTACAGCTTTTCATTTAAGAAAAGGGCATTGCCAACGTCAAGACAAGAAGCAATAACCTATTTTATTACTGATGGCCCAAATAAAAAATTGGTTCTCTTGAGAAAATATAAAAATATAAATAGTTTCTACAGTATACTTCACTTTTTTTAACTCAAGTCTTTTGATTTAAGAAGACAATAATCTTTGCAACAACAGTCAACCCATTTAACCCTTAATAGTTAGTCTTAATAGAGAGTCTGTAATGACTTGGTTCTCACCTCATTGAATTCCATAAAATATGAGTGTTAACTTGGCAAAACGTATTTATTTCTTCCTAACCTGTAGATTTTTTTTATATGTAAATGTATGGTATCCTTGCAATGTGGTTAGGTGCACCTTGCTGTTAAGCAGTTTCTGTTATCAGCATATTTTTAAAGTTTGCTTTCTAGTTGTCACGATCGCAAACCCCTCCTCTTAAGGGCGCTCCAGACCTTCCTTGTTTTCTCCCATTACCTGCACCTGTTCCCCATTTCCGTTCCCCCTTAAAAGCCAGACGCAGACGCCACTCCTGGTTCCTCATTGAATCCCGTTTCGTGAGAACTTGGGGTTCTTGTTGCGTTTGTCTCCGTTATGGGTTTAACCTTCTGTTCCTGATTCCCCCCACCGGTTCCGACCCGGTTCCTGTTCCTAATCCCCCGGATGGATCGCCTGGCCATGGACTTTTGCCTCCGTTTTTGATTACCCGTTTGGATTTGCTATATGGATTGTGCGCCCCGGACTCACTTCCCCTGGACAGCTGCACCCCTTGGACACGCCCCCTGTCTCCAGACCCTCTCCTGCATTACTTGTTCCCCAGTGTTTCCTCACAAATCCGTATCGTGTCGTCTGCATAGGGTCCGGAAAGAACAGTTCGTGACACTAGTGTGGCTATTACTTAAAACATATACAGTGTAGCAAGGTGGGGGAGTTTGTCATGAGCTCCCCAACCTTGTTGTTCATTCATTCATTCAAGATCTCAATATTTACAGTATAATCCACATGCATGTTTGTTTGGAAATAATCTGTTTAATATGTAATAGTGTTGATGTGGACCCATAGCCCTGTCATGTGTGATATGTTGGTATTGTACACCCAGGGATGAACTTGATTAGGGGGAATTCATTGTTGAGTTGACATCTCAGTTATCCCCTTTACAAGAACAGGTTTAATTACCCCAAGGTGTCTTTTCTGGCACTTTTTGTCCATTTGAATTTGGAAAGATTAAGTCCAGTGTTTTTGCATTTTTTAAAATATATTTTGTTTTTCTCTTGACAAACTCTTCATTACAGTAGGGCATACAGTATTATATTAGATGAACAAGCTCTCAACTCATGTTTCACAACCATTCTCCAAGAGTTTTGATGGGACTATAAATGAGAAATAAATAAACATGCCTCCAGAAAGGGGAAAAAAAATCATCAGTCTTTAAGCAGGTACTGAGCTATAAGATTTTCAGGAATTTTCATAAAGGTAAGAAAATTCAGTCAATGTGACTAGATTCCCTTTCTGGGGTAATTGTTTTTAACATTGGAGATGAGCTGCCCTAAGTGTACAGTATCAGTATGTCTAATACCAAGAGTGTAGTGAGTACATAGACAGAAGCATGATAGGTTTACTCCTAATGGACACTAAAAGTAAGAGCAAAGTTAAAGAAACTAAATCTGATTATGAAATCTATTTGAGATTTTTTCATTTTCTCATTTTTCTGCTTATGTACAGTACCAGTAGCTAAAACATCCCTACTCAAAGCTAGCTTATCTGCTCTTTGTTCATTTGGTGCTACCCTCCTCAATGAGGGTACATGAGTACATGGAACCTGGTTTTGTTCTGGTAGATCTAAAGCCTTCTGTTCTCACATGTTAAAAAACCTGGCTAGGTCCCACATGACTACCAGAGACTTCCATTCCATCTCCAATTTGCCTTTTCTTTCAGGTAGTTGGTGGCAGCTCAATTACAACTTCATTTTGCATCTAATAAACTCTTCAAACTTTTTAGGCAGGGATTATACAAGGACACAGTGCTAATGGAGATTTGATGATTTCCAGAACACTTCTGATGGGTCACATGCTGGAATTTAGTGCAGCTTTAAATGCTGTACTGTAGGTCAATCTTAGCACAGTACTAGATCACAATGAAAAGATATATAGCAAGTATCACTGTTTTTTCCCTTGATTGGTTTGTTTTCTAGCTTAAATTAAAATGAGCTTGAATTAAAATGGGATAAACGCTTTCACCAGGAACATAAAGAGACTGAGAATTGTCAAAAGGGATCCATAAATTATGCAAACCAAACTTGTTGGGGATTGCATGAGTTCATTTGTTTGTTGAAGAACGTGCCAGTTTATTTTGTTCTTGATACCAGGAACCAATCCATACTGTAGATCTTGGTTGTTTGAAATCACGTTGCCTCTTCTACTCAAGGTGTTCCACAGGGATCTGTGCTGATACCCTTACTATATTTAATATCTACAGGTTGCCTCTTGGTCTTGGAAAAAGCATGTTTTCCATCAGGTCTGGCAAAACTGCATTCATCAGTTAACATAGCATTTCACTCCATTCTCTCTGCGACCACCTCAGATGTTCTCTGGGACACAGAGGGCATCATGTTTGTCTCTCAGATACCCATATTCCTTGTGAATTCTCATGAACAACTTGCAAACAGGCATAAGCCATACACACAAAAAAATTCTCCCCTTTCCACAGTTCCACAGGCTCCTGACGACTTTTCAGTGATGACATGTATTTCTAAAACCAAGCTCTCAGAATGCATTCTTTTTTTCAACAACAGAGGATACCCCATATTATTTCATTATCAGATTTACTGTACATAAGCAATATTGCAGCTTCTGACAGACACGATAAGAGGATCTGACACTAGCTTTTTCAATCCTGAAAGGTGTTGACGAAAAGGTCCAGGGCTTTGATTCCCAGTTGTGAATCTTGACGCTATTTATGTAACTTTTATAAATTATTTTTAATGGCTCTCTATGTATGAGATACAACAAATGCAATCAGCTTTGTCAACGATTTTATATTACTGTGTATTGATGTAAAATCCTAATGCAGTATAATGCAGATACTTTACTGCAATACAAAATTGGTAAAATTATTGAAAGTAGAGACTAGACTAAATTTATTGGAAAGGAAAACAGTCTGCATGCACACAATATATGGAAGAAGTGTTCTTCAATACCTTTTTGAGTTTCCCCTTGGGGAGGGTCAGATCTCGTGCATATCTGACAGGCAGGTCAGGTTCCCAGTCCAAATCCGTACAAGACAGTACCACCTGCCCCAGGAGGGCATCCCGCAGTCCAGGGAAGTCCTTTGCAAAAACCGTGAGCCGGAGAGAGCACTCCTGCAGGTCTTCAACAGATCCCACCTGGAACAGGAAGCTCTCTCCGAATTCAGGGCTTGTGCTACGCCGGCGCACAGATGTCTGAAAAGGTTCAGGACAGCGAGGGAGTAGACTGAGGCATACATAAACACCTCCCAGCTTGCGTGGGGTGCTGGATAAACTTAACACAGTCACTGTCAGGGTCCCGTTTGCTGGGGAGAAGTGCAGGCTGAAGTGGAGACGTGGGTGTAGCTTGGGGCTCATCTCAGACAGTTCCTCTGGGAGGGTGTGGGACTGGCGCACGGTGGAGGGTAGCAGGAGCTGGGGTCCTTGACAGGTGAGCTTTGTGCGCTCGTTATAGGTGAAAGTGTCTCCTGTGACAGTGCAGCGCCTCTCTAGAGCCCTCTTGGTCTTGGAGACCAGGCTAAGTTTGGGTATGGCAGGGAGTGAGGCCCTTCCATGGAGACTTGGCTGGCAGGGTGGACTTGTTTCATATGAGGGGCTGCTGAGGCGCCTCGAAGGGAAGGTAGACTTAGTAAGCTCTGAAACGGACCTGGGGCGCTGACTGCTGGATGGCACAATAAAATTGTGCTCTGATGGTGCTGAGCAACTATAGGGCACCTGTGTCGGGTAATCTAGGACATCTCCCTCCAGCTCTTCATATTGCTGCTTGATGGGAGTGGTGTTAGCTTTGGCACTGGAGGCAGGAGAAAGGATGGAAGAAAGGTCCACTGCTACATGATCAGTGGTCTTTGGAGGGGCCTTGTCTTCCTCTGGGAAGGACTTCCTGCGCCTCCAACACAGGATGCAGCCCAAAATAATGCAGAAACAGAAGACAGCGAGGCCCACACCCAGAAGGATCTGCAAGTGCACTGTGCAGGAGTACAAGAAGAGACAATTAGAGGACACATAAACACCAGTGATTCAACATGAGCAAGAAAGAAATTGCCTTCTGTGAAATTAAGCCCTTTTATTAATACAAAAAAAAACATTTCAATTGCATATCTGGCTTCTTTCAAATTGAGTTAGTCTTTGGATACTAAAGATCCTATACTTACAATGCATATTGAGTGATGGAGATTTTAATACTTTATTTTGATTCAAAGGTTTGGATTTTTGTTAGAATGAAAAGCAATATTCAAAACTCATTCAGCAGACCTCGATGAAAGCATACAACATGTGAAAGAGTTTTGTTTTGTCAATAAGAGCAGATTGCCAAATTGCATCATAACTAAGCACTAATCAATCCAAATATAGTGTTTTTAATAAGTTGTAAAGTAAATAATTCATTGCTTTCTGTCTTCCGTACATTCATGTATTGAGCCTGACTAAGCCAAGACATTAGCTTGTTATTTTTTCTGGATCTTCATTTGAATGCATTATTGAATTATACAGGAAATATTTACAGTATCAAATGAAGAATAATTGACCTGCTTTAGAAACAGTTCATGGCCTGTATTTGATAAAAAACAGATCATCACGTTAGTGTTGCAACAGCCTTCTCTGCTTCTGAACGTTATTTATTTTTATGTTACTCTCAATGAGACCATTGGGGAAAAAAACACCTTTTCATAACTACTTTTTAAATATTTTTAGGGTTATTAAAAAATAATATACAATGTTCTTCATAATTACTTATATTTTTGTTGTGCTGAGAGCATAGAGTGCAAATGAGAGGAGGCCACTCAGTCCATTTGGCTTGTTTGGAAGATAGTTTATTGGCTTAAGGATTTCATCCAGCTATTTCATGAAAGATAAGATCACTTTATTGGCCACATACAATTTCTTGTATGAGGAATGTGTCTTTTCACAGACCCCAGCTTGCTCTCCATGAGACACACAGACAGGGAGAGTAGTTGGGGGTCAGAGCGCAGGGTCAGCCATTTATACGGCGCCCCTGGAGCAGCTGGGGTTTAGGGCCTTTATAAACCTGAAAACCTACTACAGGGAAGAGTGTTAAATGCATGGTTGTGAAAGAAAGGTGATGAAGTTCAAGAAGAGAGCTGCGTCAGCATGCGTAGGCTACAAAGGAGCAAGCAAAGGTTTATTCCCTGCTGAAAAGAGAAGACACCTGAAACTTTGTGTTCCTTTTCTTCTCTTTTCAGCATGGAATAAACCTTTGCTTGTTCCGAAGAAGGACGATTAATGGTTAAATGTGCATCTTGCATTTGTAACTGGTATGATCCCCCCTTATTTTATTTGTAACATCACCCTTGAAACCTAAGCAAATGCAGCATGGGACCCGATCTTTTGGCACGATGGAGTTCACCAGTGTTTAGGGAGTGGCTCTGAGTCTGCAATGAGCCTGAGAGTGCCTGTAATTGAATCGCAGCATTAGCAGAGCAGAGCTGCACCCATCACACATTGTAATGACCAGTCTAGTCAGTGCTTGAAGAACCCTTGGGGGCTAAGTATGGTATGAAACTAGGTTTTATTCTACACAGATACGATAAAGTCATGCATCAACCCAGAAAATTAAAGGGAGAGGCATTAATGTTACACCTGCAGTGCCCGATGATGCAGTTTAACAGTATTTGGGTTGAATCCTTGGAGGCCCCACAGTACAGTAGTTATTGTTTAGATATTATTCTTTGGTCATTTACTCAAAGAAAGTAAAAAATGTAAGTAAATATGGTTTTAAAGTGAGTCTATTCAAGGACTAAAGTAGAAAAAGTGTCAGTTTTTCTTTTTTACACAAGAAATCGCAAATCTTCACCCTTAAACTCATTCCATTTTCTACTCCCATCATGCACACTCATTAACTGCCAAAAGAATGAGAAACCAGAGATGGATTGACCAATCCCAAATGGATGCACTGTCACCATTATCCTGCCTGGAGGAAATCTGGGAAATTTGGGTCCAGAGTGCAAAGCTAAGCTGAGGACTGTAGCAGTACTTTCAGACATTTTCATTAAGCATAAAGTGTAAAAGAACAATATGGTGTAGCTCAGTACTCATCTCTGCCTGAGGGAGGAGGCCTAAAAATGATAGTGATAGGCCTGAGTTAGGAGGTGCAAGTAGGAGTGAGACCTGACTGAGAAAGCCATGTCATGACCTGTACATTAGTCAAACATGTCTCTACCCACTTCTCTTGAGACTGACTTAACTCCAACATTGACTTCTGCATTTCAACAGCAACTTAAGTTGGATGGCAGTCAAGTTGTTTGTCCCTTTGAATGGGAATGGTCCAAGTAAAATTTTTAATTCAGAAGGTTTTCACTTATTAACAGTTTGAAGAGAATCGAAGAACTGTCTGAAAGTACTGAAACAAATGTGCACTTATAAAATATAAAATGTAAAATTCTACAGGGTGTGCTTAATTGATTTGATTTCAGATTTTATATCTTAAAAATTATTCCAAAGTTTTAAAACTCTCTGGTCTGAGTCAACTTAAAAGTGTCCTAACTGCTGTCATCACCATTAGGAACAAGTTAAGGCTTATCCAATGCAGAGCAGAGAGCCACAACATGTCAGCTGTGGAGCCTTCTTCAGGTGTCAATCATTAGCATTTGTTCATTTCAGTATTTGGTCCATACTTCCATTATCAGAAAGACATTTATTCCTTGCAAGCATTGAAACAGCCCAGAGGCTATCCTTGAAGCACAGGGTGCAAGACATAACTATGGCTATCCAGTCCATTGCAGTGCACATACAGTACATAGAAGCAGCCTAATTTGGATCTCTCACACTTTCACAAGTGCTGTGCACAGTTCCACAGTTCTGCATTATCATCTTTATGCACACGATTTGTCCAGGCAGCAGTGATAGTGCAGATACTGAAGATGAGTATGAAGTACTAAACACACCCAAGCACAAATTCAGCATAGTAGGCATACGTGTATCTCTGGAAGCACCCTGAATTCCTGGTAAAAAAACAACAGAGGCACTGGGAGAATCCCAGTCTGAAATGGAACCCAGGACCGAAGAGCTGCTGTGTTGGATACCATAACATCAGGACCTTCAACTTCATTTATTCATCTTAAATCACAAATTATACCTGATGACAAATTATACCTGATGCATTCCCTGTCTTTATTTTTAAATATACAGTATACTATGTTAAAATCGAAAACCTCTGAAGATTATCAGCCACTCCCACATAGCCTCTCCCCTGTCTGAGCTTCTTTCCCTGGGAACAAGGTTAAGATGTGTCAAATCTGGAACAGTAACAATAACAATAATAATAATAATTGCTTACACTTATATAGCGCTTTTCTGGACACTCCACTCAAAGCGCTTTACAGGTAATGGGGACTCCCCCCCACCACCAGTGTGCAGACCCACCTGGATGGTGCAACAGCAGCAATAATGCGCCAGAATGCTCCCCACACACCAGCTATCAGTGGGGAGGAGAGCAGAGTAATGAAGCCAATTCACAGATGGGAATTATTAGGAGGCCACGATTGGTAAGGGCCAATGGGAAATTTGGCCAGGACACCGGGGTTACACCCCTACTCTTTTCAAGAAATGCCCTAGGATTTTTAAATGACCACAGAGAGTCAGGACCTCTGTTTTACATCTCATATGAAGGACGGCACCTGTTTTACAGTATAGTGTCCCCATCACTATACTGGGGCATTAGGACCCACATGGACCACAGGGTGAGCGCCCCCTGCTGGGCCCACTAACACCTATTCCAGCAGCAGCAGCTTTTCCCAGGAGGTCTCCCATCCAGGTACTGACCAGGCTCACACCTGCTGAGCTTCAGTGGGCTGCCAGCTGTGAGTTGCAGGGTGATATGGCTGCTGGCAACAGTAGCTCTGGATCAACACTTACTTTGCTGGTTATGCAGTCTCTTAACTCAAAACTGTTAAAAAATATGTATTGGCAACTTTGTGGATTCTATCTTCACTGCAATGCAACATTATATTGTGTTTTGATATGTGTGGAATATTTATGATTTTTTTTCTCTCCTTGTACCTGTTGTTTTTTGTATCTCTGTTATTTGAAGTGCATCACATAAAAGTCCTAATCCAAAGGCTTGGTTTGGCAGTAAAGCTGACTTTGACATTTGATTTTTTTACTTGTACTGGGATGAACACAAAATGATTCAAAAACATTAAGAAGCTTTTACAAATAGAGAGGATGAGGGAATAGAGCAATAGTGAAAATAAAAATAAAAAGCTAAAAAAATGTAACCCCATTTATACATTGAGGTCAGGTTCTCTATAAAATGTGGGAAAATAAAATGTATTAATTTATTTTAATAGAAAAGAAATAAGGGGCATGAGTAGGGTGTACAAAGTCAATGCAGGATAAATGACTAAATTTAGTCCAAATAAGAGATCGCAAAAAGCAATCAAATCGATTCAGAAATGAGAACAGAATGGCAAAAGTACCAAGTAATTAAATGTTGTATGCATTGTTTTCTAATCTATAAACCTAATCAATGAGTATTTTTAAGTGTTGAATTTGGCACAAAAAGTGTTTGTAAAAGTAAACTGCATGTATCCATGCAGTAATATATTGCTAACCTTAAGTATTTTTAGTCGTTATAAAAGAGCTTTGTAATGGCAGATTTTGTTTGCTGTCCTTTGATCTCTTAATGGCATTTTTCACTTTTGATTCATGGCCAGTAGACCCTACTAAGATATAATTTTGCTGTCAATCACTTTTATCATACACAAACAAAGAACCAAGCACTGCAAATGAATAAAGGGGATTATTAAGTCCCTCGTAAGTTAAAACAAGAAAAGATTTCTCAAACATTTCTCATTTCTGCTTTACTGGTGTTCTGTCTACATCTGGTTTATAGAAGTGCAATACGCGGAAGGGGAATGGGCAATTTATTTATTATTCACAACTGTGCAATAGATACTGTATCTACTCTGTACAATATGCCTGGGAGTGTGCGATATCTATACTGTGTATT